CGGTTCCTCAGTCTGATGCTGGCGCGGTTGGTTCGTGGGTGCGGGAGGTGTACCATGGGGAGTGCCGAGGACGTCGATCAAAAGGAGAGAGGGTTGGTGCGATGCTTTGTTTATGTGACTATCGGACATTTGACGGTCACTATGGAATTGGTCTGGCTCCTTCCTGTACACGTGGGCTGGTCTTCGGGTCACGCTCAGGCTCCATTTGCCCTGTCGTCTTCGGAATACGTGTATTTAACCTCACTTATGCCTTCTTCCATCCTATGGGAACCCTTGGGACGCTACAGTGTGTACAATAATTTGCATGCTAGTATAATCTTTCATAACAATGATAAATGATTTGCTAACTAATCGCATATTCCTTTGTATTGCCATTACTAATGTCGAAAGGTCAAGGCACAATGGCAAATACACGGCCTTCCTTAGCCATTCTCATTAATATTGCTCTTTAAAACATTGTATCTCTTTGGTTTTTGACAAGGTGTACATTCGAACATTAGATGCTGATCTTAAGAAGCGTTACCTGATTCGATGATAGCCGGCGTTTTCGATCTGGTGTTTAAATTGCTTTCTTGCTTCGTCTGCTAAATGAGGCTTGCACTGGATCAAATGACACACTCACAGCGGGTCCGTTTTTTGTATAAGATGCTACTTCGAACACACAAGGCTCTGCCACCGGAACTTCGGGAACTTGGGGATCGATATGTTAGAGAGGAATTCAAAAGACACAAGAATTGTGATTCAATCTACATTGGTCCCTTTATGATGGAATGGACAGTACGTCTGTTTTTTATTCCACCGACTGCCACGTCTAGATTAATTTCGGTATATGTGATATAGTCTGCTCCTTCATTTCTTTGGGCGCTTAATTTACTCGTTTTCCAATTTGCAAAGCATGAGACAAGACAATGGTCTGTGCAGAAGGTATTAAGTTTGCTACTGATTTATTGCTTTCGCTTTTTGTCGTCTCTGCAACTAGAGACTCGCTAAATCTAAGTGCACACAACATTTCATGATACATCTACGATGGGTAAATTGGACCGACATCGTAATTGAGTATTTAACTGTGTTCTACTCTCATCGTGTCGGTGAAAATAGTGATTAAGTGTGGCATTGCTTTTTCAAAAGCGGTATCTCGTGGATTTGAATAAGCAAATTCGATCTGCTATGAAAGTGGAAGGTGAAGAGGGATCGGAATACGTGCCTGGATTTGGAGCTCACCTCAAAGAAGGAGACCTGGATATGTTTTCGGAACATCAGCTGAAACAGCTACTTGCTCTCGCTGATGAGCTCCATGGTGTGAACCAATCGGACGGATCAAAAACTCAGTCTTCAGTGTAACTTCTTCCCTCTTGCATAATGCTCTAACCCCAAAGTGTGTACTTATCGATGTTTTAGCGACTGCGCTTTCCATTTCGTTGAAATTGTGGCCTCATTCTGTATCTTCTAGATACTAACTGGAAATTTACATTAAATTTAGTCTAAATTTGGATCCATTTCATGGCACTTTAGTAACCGTTGCTACTGCAAGGTATTTTTTAACAGAACTAGCACACAGCCTTCGAAGTGATCTTTTTCTTTTCGTACTGTCGTATACGGATTTCAGGATAAGTAATTCAGGCATTCACTTATGTAAGCTGCTTGCCCTTCCGCTTATGATGACTTGCAGCAGCTAAACTGAGGCTGTTGTGTTGCTTGGTCGCACAATTGGTACATCAAGTGATTCGAAATGGACTCTGCTATTGGACGTTCGGAAGTGTCATGCTTCTACGTGAACACTAAATAAGACCGCTACTGATATGGCTGTTTTCTCAAAGCGTAATGTTCTATTCAACATCGGTTGTTACAGTGATGCTTCGCACTGGTTTGGGTCTTTATTTTACTGCACTGATCGTCTAGCCTGGGCATCCTTTGAAGGCCCTTAGTAGTCTCCCAGCCATTCTTCGCGGCACTCGGGGTAGCATGCTGGTGGAAGGAGCTCTGGATTTAGGGTAACTACGAATCACCTAATTTGGGCACCGTAGGTTACCGTCCATTTGACACGGAGCCCTCTATTCATTTATGAATTGCAAGCGCGTTAAAAAGGACTGACAGAGCACATTACAAAGGTAGATTGGGGGAAAAATTTGAGAATACCTTCCACAAGTTCTGGCTGTTGAAGTGGTGTTTAAGTGAACGCAAGTACTTATGAAGATTTCTTACTCAACTTTCTGAACAGCAGAGCATTTATATAATCAAAGTACCTCCCGATTGGGAGTCAAGCAACCGATTGACAAAAATGCTATTCAAGGAATTGAGGTTACCTATAAAGCACTAAAACAGGCTCTCACAAAGCTCTCTATGTCACGACTTTGCCATTTTCCAGTCAACGCGTAAAAGACCAGAAGTGGAGGTGGGAATCGCTGGCTTTTGTTGCCTTGAGAATGCTTAAGTACAACGGCGATTCTTTAGCGCATTTTTTTAAAAACCAAGTTGTTAACTTATCATGACTACAATTGCTATTTGTAACTAAAATATTTTATTCAGAAAAAGTAATATACGTGGTGACAAGCAATTCACCATAAACTAATATTACTCGCAGTATCTTGAATCGTAAGCGAAATAAGGGAAAGCTCTAGAAGGAGAAATTTAACAGCCATGAGTGTTTTGAAACTAGCGTTTGTGTCTGCGTTTTCGCTTTCGGCGGCGCTGAGAAGTTAAGCTATACGTAGGAGCATTGGTGATGGTGGCGGAATGCATCAGTGATTGGGAATTTTCCACATTGACGTCTTCACATTTCATTTCCCTTTCGCCACACCCCATCATGAGAGGCATAGATCCGTTAGAGTTGCTATTCCAAGTGCTTGTAGATGAAGCCACTTCCGATATAGGTGCCGCCATCAGTGCAAGACGTGCTGCTGCCTTCCGTCTGCGTTTGGCGTTGCGTTGGCGTCGCCTATTGTGCTGAATGATGCTAGAGAGGTTCTCCGAGGCTTCAAGCTCTGGAGGAATTGGAGCCTCACTGACAAAGTTGGTATGAGAGCCCTGGGGGTCGATGCCGACTTGACTGAGAAGGGATTCAAAGGAAGAGTCAGACGGGGAATTTAAAACGGTGTGCCATGGCGATGAAGATGCAGCTGTGGCAGAGGTGATAGAAAAAATGGAGTCGGGGACTGCTAACGGAGGGTTGGAGAAAGCAGTGGTGAGGTGCTCGAAAGCAGTTACCGTGCCTACGGCTCTGGCTACATTGTTGACTGAAATGACCACTTGACGACCCAATTCTAGAAACTCAGGTTGTCGAATGAAAGTAACCACCACTTTGTGTGATGAATCCAGCCGTAGAAGCTAAAAAAAGTGGAAAAGCAATGGATCACCCCTTGATTGAATTTGTTGCTCAAGAGGCCTGAAATACCACAATTCTAGAGAAACCAATGAGTAGCCGATCAATGATAATGCTTGAGAAGTCGAAAGAGGTGTTTGTCAAAGTTTAATGCAAACTAAAATTTGCGCCTTTTATGAATTCGATGACAAAATAGGCAGTGAGGGCATCCGATTGATGTGAAACACCTTGAGAAACACTGCGAGCGTCGGAGACAGCATTAAACTAGCTTTTCACATGCATTATAAATAGTTACTCAAATCAGTATAAGATATGAATGAAGGACAAGCGACGATGAGGATATTTACCACTCTAAAAATGGCAAATTTAAGGAATTGTGGGGGATTTTCGTAACTACGTCTGAGTCGATACATGCTTTGAGCGGACGCATTTTAAGTATGCCTGATATCCTTGCCCGATACTGAGTAGCCCTCTTTTTAGGTGAGGAGAAAAAAAACCGAAGTTTATGCAAAAAAGTAACTTTAGTTGAATTTGTTTATGCATCTCGATACGCTACGTAATTAATGCCAACTCAAATAATCTTACCCACGTATAAGATAGAACTGTGTAGCTAAGTAAACAGTGCAAAATTCGATAGCTTAAAAGAATTGTTTATGGAACTTTGAAGAGGGATATTTTTACTGAATTTAAGGGGACAATGAGCAAGTCATACCACAGAATCTGAATTGACTCCAAGGCCGCCAATGGTGTGAGTTAGTAGGTCACAGGAAAGGGTAGATTCAAGTACGCGGGCATACTGCAGGACGTTGCCAGCATGGATTCCGACTGTGGAATTGTGCTGGAGGCATGCACCGCCAGTGTTAGGAGCCAACCAGGTAAGGTGTGATATGCAGAACGACCAGCAGACACCGATTGAGGGATACTCGACGCTACAGCCAGTGGTAGGTTCTGCGCTAACCATGACCATGCCCCTACGGGGCAGGGGGAAGTGACCAATATCCGGGATTTCAGGAACAGCCAGAAGAGAGCCTAGTTGATCCTTGTAAAGGACATGGTGTGGGTGTCGATTGTGTCGCAATTCAATCACACGGACCTGATAGAAGAGGCCCTCCTGGAAGAAGAAAACTAGATTACTTTCCACCATTGATGGAGCTGTCACTGGGACTGTATATTATTGAACGATCAAGCCATGCGTAAGATACCAAAGTGGAAGTGAGAGACGCGCAACCCAAGGATACGAGCAATAGCCCCTCCACAGAAAAGTGCACTTTAAAGCGACGTTGCAGGAAACGAATTACACAGTCATGTGAGCTCAGGCTAAGCCTAAGGAAATCCCCTTCCCAAAACAAACATGTTTCCTTAAGCAAGTTTGATTACACTTCAAGAAGGATGCAGTTCAAATACCACATACTTGCGAGTTTGACTACGGCCTATGACGAGATTATAACAGTTAATGGGCAACCCCAACACATTCACCGACTTCAGAGATTTTCTAAGCCATCAGTTAAATAAAAAAGCGACTATTCAAAAACTGAAAAATAAAAATAAGGGGCGTTTGCAATCCGAATTCAAACTGAGCCAAATGAACTCGTTTTTGCATTTGAAAAAGTTTTCAAGCTAATGTAACTGCGAAGGTAGATATGGCAACTCCAAAAAAGCTTCTAGTTCCAAATCGACTCAGCATATGCAACACTGAAACTGTTA